AACTCCTTAATCTTTTTCTACCATGGGGTTGCTAACTCTCGTCTGTCTTCCTTCACATTCAGGACTCTCTACCAGACAACGATACCCTAGCAAGCTCTGAGACGCCTCCGCCATCCTATTTCGAACTGGAGATAGATGATCAGAACTGCTGTGACTACAACTCCTCCATTACCTCTACGCTCATGACCCCATCCCCAGCTACCCACTTGCTATTTAAAATTAAAAGTTGGTTTCAGAAATTTGGCCACTCGCTAGAGTGTGAAACGTATAATTGATATGGAAATGTTTTTAACTATATTACAAATGCTAGGACAAATGTTTTTTTCGACACACTCATCAACGTTAATAAATGTTAGTGAAAGCGTTTTGTTTTATAATACCCATAACATGGGGCTCCATCAACCTGATTTTTTTGTTGTAGGTGGTAGAATGGGATATTATTTTTTGTTTGTTTTTCTTTATAGGATGAAGATAAGTTTGCTGATAATACCACAAGAAATATTGGAGCTGGAGGATGCTCTTCCCCCAACAACCAACGTTGTTTTTTATTAAATGTTTTAGTGTGTTTTTTAAAATTGATTTATTTTTTTTAAAATGAAAAGGATATAAAGCACTGGATGAGTGTTACCAATCCCAGATTTGATCGTAACTCCCTCCACGATTGTCGGGTCTAATTTATTCATTTTAAACCTAGCTAGCTCACAGTAAGATAGTCTTTGGGTGACTTTTACTTAAATAATCACGTAATTTCATTTTAAAATTAATATACTAATTGGCCTTAATGGATGGACGACGGACATAGAGGTTGACGAGACTGCTGGAAAGTAAAACAACGCTGGATATATGCTTATGTTGTTCGTTGGTCGCCACCTATCTCACCTGTTTGGGGATATACATGACATCTTGCTTCAACAGGTCATCATTCGCCACCACTACCTCCATCCCCAACTGTACCACTGCTGACAAGTGGAACCACAAAGTAGGTTTACAACTGTTTGTTTATATTGCAATTTTCTTGTCTTAAAATATTTTTTTGATTTTATTTATTGACAATATAACTGTGGGCTATCACCCGAATATATATTGTTTTTTGGTAATTTACAATGACAGCAGCAGCAGCAGCAGCAGCAGAATGAATGTGGAGGATCATGGACGTTTAGGGATGGTTATATTATAATGGTGATAGGTTACCTGTTCAACTCGGTGGTGCTGGTGTTATTGGTGATTACGGCGATAATGGTTATTCGTCGTGTCATTAAAAAACGCTCGATAACTGTTAACAGCATCAGACAGGTAAGTTAATACGAATCAATCTGAATATATTTTTTTTATTTATTAATGTTTTCGCCACTATATCTTTATCTTTTTCTACCATGGGGTTGCTAACTCTCGTCCGTCTTCCTTCACCTTTAGGACTCTCTACCAGACAACGATACCTTAGCAAGCTCTGAGACGCCTCCCCCATCCTATTTCGAACTGGAGATAGATGATCAGAACTGCTGTCACGACCCCACCCCCAGCTACCCACTTGCCATTTAAAATTAAAAATTGGTTTGAGAAATTTGGCCACACGCTAGGAACAACTGTGTAAAATGTATATTAAAATACTTCAAGAACTTCAAAAGTACTAAAGAAGAGTGTTTTATTATTACTGTTTTGACAACCAACTTCGAATACATATGAACATTCCAAGTGTAATATTTGTGATTAGGAATTCATTTGGCCGGGAAGCTTAAGGAGGGAGACAAAGTGTAGGTTAGGGGGGTAAGTTTATTTTTTTAAAACGAAGGGATATAAAGCACTGGATGAGTGTTACCAATCCCAGATTTGATCGTAACTCCCTCCACGCTGGTCGGGTCTAATTTATTCATTTTAAACCTAGCTAGCTCACAGTAAGATAGTCTTAGGGTGACTCATGTAATTTCATATTAAAATTAATATACTGATTGGCCTGAATGGATGGATGATGGACAATGAGGTTGACGAGTCTGCTGGAAAGTAAAACAACGCTGGTGATATGCTTATTATGTTCGTTGACCGTCACCTATCTCACCTGTTTGGGGATATACATGACATCCTGCGTCATCAGTCGCCACCACTACCTCCACCCCCAACTGTTCCACTGCTGACAAGTGGAACCACAAAGTAGGTTTACAACTGTTTGTTTATATTGCAATTTTCTTGTCAATTAAAATAATTATTGATGTCACCTTTATAATATAATTGTGGGCTATCACCCCGAATATATAATTGCAGCAGCAGCAGCAGCAACAGCAGCAGCAGCAGCAGCAGCAGCAGCAGCAGCAGCACTAGAATTAATGTGGAGGCTCATGGACGTTTAGGGATGGTTATATTATAATGGTGATGGGTTACCTGTTCAACTCGGTGGTGCTGGTGGTATTGGTCATTACGGCGATAATGGTGATTCGTCGTGTCATTAAAAGACTCTCGATCACTGTCAACAGCATCAGACAGGTAAGTTTATACGAATCCAATCTGAATATATTTGTTTTTGTTAATTAATGTTTTCGCCTCTATTTCTAAGTTACTAACTCTTATCTTTTCCACCATGGGGTTGCTAACTCTCGTTCGTCTTCCTTCACCTTCAGGACTCTCTACCAGACAACGATACCCTAGCAAGCTCTGAGACGCCTCCGCCATCTTATTTTGAACTGGAGATAGATGATCAGAACTGCTGTGACTCCAACTCCTCCATTTCCTCTACGCTCACGACCCCCACCCCCAGCTACCCACTTGCCATTTAAAATTAAAAGTTGGTTTCAGAAATTTGGCCACCCGCTAGGAACAGCTGTGTAAAATGTATATTAAAGTACTTTAGTACTAAAGAAGAGTGTTTATTATTACTGTTTCGACAACCAACTTTGAATACATACGGAAGATGTTGTTATTACAAATGCTAGGCGCTAGGCAGAACTGTAAAAACAACCTCGAAATACTATATAATAATAAAAAATAAGTCTGGCAGCAGGTTTAATGTTTATCTGTACAGTCGGCACAGTAATCTGTAACTTTGACTGTATTTTAAAAGTTTGCTAAGACCCAAAGTAAAAATTGATGGATGATTGACTTTAAATGGAGTTAGCAGCAGTTTTATATTTACTATGCATAACCCAGAAACAAGCTAATAAATAAAAAATTTATTTTTTTTATTTTATTAAGTTGTAAAAATGTAATGTTGTATTCTCTGTATAACACCACAAGTCTTTGATTGTTAGTCTGTGCTGGTTCTTTAAACTTAATAATTTATGAAGAAAAAAAAAATATATATATATATATACAAAATCCTTTTATTTTACAGTAAATCCCCTTTTACTTTTTATATAAGAAAAAAAAATTTCTTTAAGGCCACAAACATACACCTGGATTTACCTAGAATAGAATTCAAGCTAGCAGGTAGTTGTCGAATGCGTGCGTTATCGTTAAAAAGTTACCAATATACACCTTTTACAAAAAAAAAGAAAAAAAAAGACAACTCTGGATAGTATAAATTACGTTACGTTTAGGTATTAATTCATGAGAATAGCGGAATGTGTGAAGCCCTCTTACGGGTGTGAATATTATCCAAACACACTGCTAGATACCCTATATACACTCTGGAATTCACAACAGTTCTGTGATGTAGAAATATCAACTGGTGGATCAGTTGTGAAGGTGAGAAACATTATTTACTGATATAATGCACTAGCTATTATTTATTGATACAATTCACTAGCTACAGTGTTTGCAGAGTTTTTAATTTTTTTTTTTTTTTTTTTTTTATATTGGTAACACAATGGTAAACATTTTATTCCAAGCTCACCGTGTAATACTCTCAGCGGGAAGCCCCTATTTTCAGGCCATGTTTACGAGTGGTTTAGCTGAGGAAACACAGTCTTCAATAGAAATGAAGTCCATAAAACCCAATATATTAACTCAGATAATCAGATTCATGTATACTGGTAAGGATAAAGAAAACATACAGAACATATTGACTTTCATATTGCTAATTATATGATATAACAAACCTTATGTAAAACAATTATTAATTGATTGATGGATGAAAATTTTATTTTTAAATTTGTAGGAAACATTGAGGTAAGAGCGGAAAACGCCCAAGAGTTAGTTGTTGCTGCAGATATGATGCAAATGAACTATGTTTTAAGTGTTTGCACAAACTTCCTCAAGAATGAACTTCATGTATCCAATGCTTTAGGAATTTACAGGTACAGTATATAGTATATGTATGTTATTACATTAATATATAATATTTTTATTAAAAAATGATAAATGATTTAGGAGGCAGGGTATGTTTTTTTTATCTATACGATACAGTAATCCAACAACACTAACTTGTATTTAATTTAAAACAGGTTTGCTAAGGCCTATTCCCATGGCTCTGGTTCATCATTAGAATATCTGAAGTATGAAACGATCAACTTCCTCTTCCCCGAACTTTTTAAACTGGCAATGGAGAAAGAGTTTCTTGAGACTCCTAAAGAAATTATATTAGATCTTCTGGAGGAAATGAAAAGGCAATCCTACAAAAAAGAGGTGCCGTTCACATTGGAGCAGCTCCAGCATATAAGATAAAACTGGTGAGGAAATTTATGATTATTTATGGAGTGAAATAGACTTTGTTGATAATACCCAGGAATAAATTAGTAAAAAAGAACATTATATGTTTGTTTGTAAAAAATGTTTTTGTTAACTAATAAGTCTCTAAATAATAAATGTTAGTCTGAAAGGTTAGTGTTTTCTTAAAATTTATTGTCATCCTTGAGAGTTTATAAAAAAAAAAAAAAATACACTTTTTATATAAAAAAAAAATATTCTTTTTAAAGACCACCTGGATTTACCTAGAATAGAATTCAAGCTAGCAGGCAGTCGTCGAATGCATGCGTTATCATTAAAAAGTTACCAATATACACCTTTTACAAAAAAAAAAAACTGACAACTCTGGATAGTATAAATTACGTTAGTTTAGGTATTAATGCATGAGGATGGCGGCATTTGTGAAGCCCTCACCCTCTTACGGGTGTGAATATTATCCAAACACACTGCTAGATACCCTATATACACTCAGGAATTCACAACAGTTCTGTGATGCAGAAATATCAACTGGTGGATCAGTTGTGAAGGTATTTACTGATACAATGCACTCACTAGCTATTATTTATTGATACAATTCACTAGCTACAGTGTTTGCAGAGTTTTTAATGTGAAGATTTTTTTTTTACTGGCTGGTAACACAGTGGTAAACATTTTATTCCAGGCTCACCGTGTAATACTCTCAGCGGGAAGCCCCTATTTTCAGGCCATGTTTACGAGTCGTTTAGCTGAGGAAACACAGTCTTCAATAGAAATGAAGTCTATAAAACCCAATATATTAACTCAGATAATCAGATTCATGTATACTGGTAAGGATAAAGAAAACATACGGAACATATTGACTTTCATATTGCTAATTATATGATATAACTAACCTTATGTAAAACAATTATTAATTGATTGATGGATGAAAATTTTATTTTTAAATCTGTAGGAAACATTGAGGTAACAGCGGAAAACGCCCAAGAGTTAGTTGTTGCTGCAGACATGCTGCAAATGAACTATGTTTTAAGTGTTTTCACAAACTTCCTCAAGAATGAACTTTATGTATCCAATGCTTTAGGAATTTACAGGTACAGTATATAGTATATGTATGTTATTACATTGATATATAATATTTTTATTAAAAAATGATAAATGATTTAGGAGGCAGGGTATGTTTTTTTTTATCTATACGATATAGTAATCCAACAACACTAACTTGTATTTATTTTAAAACAGGTTTGCTAAGGCCTATTCCCATGGCTCTGGTTCATCATTAGAATATCTGAAGGTTGTTACGATGGGCTTCATCTTTCCCCAATTTATTAAACTGGTAATGGAGAAAGAGTTTCTTGAGACTCCAAAAGAAATTATATTAGATCTTCTGGAGGAAATGAAAAGGAAATCCCCCTTTCTACCATTAACATTGGAGGAGCTCCAGCATATAAGTAAAACTAGGCGTGTCCCCCGTATAGGATATACTGTAAGTAAAACTGGTGAGAGAATTTATGATTATTTATGGAGTGAAATAGACTTTGTTGATAATACCCAGGAATAAATTAGTAAAAAAGAACATTATATAACTTTCTTGGATGTTGTTTAGTAAATAAGAAACTATTATGGGTTTGTAAGAAATGTTTTTTGTTAACACTAAGTCTCTAAATAATAAATGTTAGTCTTGAAAGGTTAGTGTTTTCTTAACATTTATTGTCATCCTTGAGAGTTTATAACAAAAAACTTAGACAGTATAAATAGTCGGTACTCCGTTCTTAGATTGTTAGTCTGTGCTGTTCTGTATTCTTGTCTTGGCAACCAGTTATCTGTGTGTACATGCATACTCTGATCTTGGCAGTTATCGGTAACATGGCAAACAATAAGAACAAGAACAAACGCAAATCCCTGACTGTCAACAAAAGAAAACAAAACCGCGTTCGTTGTCACATATGTAACTACGTCATCAGGAGAAAAGAAAACTTAAAATACCATTTAAATACTCATTACGGAAAGCACTATAAGTGTAAGAAATGTAATAAAGAATATAGCTGGCCTCACTGTTTAAGGAACCACAAATGTGCTTTTGCTAATAAGCTACCTAATGCTATAAATTTACTCGAATCCAAAGAGAAAGAAAAGAAAGAAGAAGAGAAGAAGAATATTTATTACTACTTTTATTCTGAAAATTCAGACCCCCAAAAATGGGTACCCACCAAAGATGATTTTATTTTCATGTCAGATTTTATAATCTGTATTGAAAGAGGAGAAAAAATATATGAGAAGGCAGGCAAAAATGGCATATACACACGGGGCTATGTATATCATAGAATAGATTCTTCTTCTAAAAGATGGAAATGTAGCTACTGCAACAGTAAAATAGAAATATTAAAAAAACAACAATCAATATCCCATAACCACCTACCATCTCGCATTAAATTGGAGGGTATAACATTACCATCAGAGTTAAGAACGATGGAAAAGCTTGTAACTCATATTAAGCAGCAGCAGAAAACGTTTTCCCTGTAAGATAATAGAGGAATAGGGAGGTAGAACGTAGCAAGTAGCAAGATTAGTTTCAGCAAGAAAAGTTGAAATATTTTGAAAATTAACTGGGACCGTGACTCATCCATCGATCCCCCCCCCCCATCCTCAAGGGTCCCTGTGTCTCCGTAGCCTATAAAACCAAGCCCACACCATAAAGTTTGTTTGTTATTAGCTTGCCCCATCCAGAGTAGTTACTTGTTTGTTACTCCTACCTTGACTTTATACTGCAACCAACAATGGAAAATTATGGATCAGCAATTGAAGCAGGAACACTATGGTAGTCAACCCTTTGGTGAAGAAGATAAGAAGAAGCTACAGCTACTTGATGCTGTGTTGAAAGAAGAAGAGGAAAAAAAGAAGAGGCTACTTGACGAGAAAGAAGAAGAAGAAAAAAAGAAGAGGCTACTTGATGCTGAGTTGGCCAAGTTGAAAGCTGAGTTTGCTGAGTTGGCTGAGTTGAAAGCTAAGTTGAAAGGTGAGAAGAAGCTACTTGATGCTGTGTTGAAAGAAGAAGAAAAAAAGAAGAGGCTACGTGATTATCAGTTGGCCAAGTTGAAAGCTGAGTTTGCTGAGTTGACTGAGTTGAAAGCTAAGTTGAAAGGTGAGAAGAGGCTACTTGATACTGAGTTGGCTGAGTTGGCTGAGATGAAAGCTAAGTTGAAAGGTGAGTTTGCTGAGTTGACTAAGTTGAAAGCTAAGTTGCTGGTTTTAGATGCTGAATTTAAAGAAAAAGAAGAGAAGCTACCTGATACTGAGTTAGAAGAAGAGAAGAGAAGAAGCTACGTAATTGAGTTTAAAGAGCTACCTGATGATGAGTTGAAAGAGAAAGAAGAGAAGAAGTTACTTGATGCTGAGTTGAAAGAGAAAGAAGAGAAGGAGAAGACTATTTATAACTACTTTCCCTTTCCTTCTGACAATTCTTCTGACAATTTAGACTTCGAAATATCCAAGTCCGAATATTATATGCTAGATTTTATAATCAGTATTGAAAGTGAAGAAATAGTATATATAAGGAGGCAGGCAAAAATAGTATATGCATCCAAGGCTATATATATATAGTAGATCATCTTCAACATCAACAAGCTGGAAATGTTGCGACAGCGACTGCAACAGTAAAATAGAAATAGTAAAAAAACAACAATCAATATCCCATAACCACCTACCACCTAACCTTGAATTGCTTGAATTGAGAACATTACCATCAGAGTGGAGGACAATGGAAAAGCTTGTAACTCATATTAAAACGAACAACTTGGAAATGTTGTCCCTGTAAGCTGTAAGATATGGTACCAAGCCCACCATAAGATTTGTTTGTGGATACACACAACTCGACCGATCCAGAGTCATCCTCAGAAAACTAGATGATAGCCAACAGCACCGTAAAGCAGCAGAAAAGCCTTCGCAACCATCAGTTACTCCACCACAGCTTAGAAAAAGATATAACTCCAACTCACTCATATTAAAACGCAGGCAGAACTGGGAAATGTTTTCCCTGAAAGTAGTAGTTATAATTTTGAAAACTACCATTTATTCATAAACTGGGACTCAGAGGGCGGCTTTCTCATCAGTGCTCCGCCCTCAAGAGGGCTCTCTCATCAGTGCTCCGTCCTCAAGAGGGCTCTCTCATCAGTGCTCCGTCCTCAAGAGGGCTCTCTCATCAGTGCTCCGTCCTCAAGAGGGCTCTCTCATCAGTGCTCCGCCCTCAAGGGTCTCGTCAACCCATCCACCTTGTGTGTGTGTGTGTGTGTGTGTGTGTGTGTACCTGTGCCTCCGTAGCCTATATAACCAAGCCCATCCAAAAAGTTGTAAGTGGAAACACCCAGCTCAACCGAAGTGGAAACACCCAGCTCGACCGATCCAAATGTAGTTACTCTACCTTGACTTATACTGCAACGAACGGTAGATTATGGATCAGCAATTGAAGCAGGAAGATTATGGTAGTCAGCTGAAGAAGTCTTTTATCTGTAATATATGTGGCAAGAAATTAAGTAGGTCAAGCAACCTTCGCGACCATCAGTTTCTCCATAGTTCAGAAAAAAAATTTAAATGTGAGTTATGTGACAAGCGATTATATACTAAGAACAGCCTTGCCAAACACCGAATCCAGCACTTCAGAAACTATAACTGCAATATATGCAACAAGAACTTCACCCAAAAATTTCCGCTCTACAAACATATGTTCTCTCATGTTGAGGAGAAACCCTTTAATTGTGAGAGATGTAATAAGGAATTTTGTCGGGAAAATAGTTTGATTACCCACATGGCCACACACGACTCTCTGAATACCGACAATCAGATTCATATTCGCTGTAATATATGCGACAAGATGATCAACAAAAAGAACTAAAAATCTCACATTAACACTCATATAACGAAAAATTATGAAAACACATTCAAGTTTAATATATGTAATAAGGAATTCAATTGGCCGGGAAGCTTAAGAAGACATCAGAATCAGACTAAATGTAGGGTGTCAGAAGAGTATGGGTGACATGATATGTTTGCATACAGATTCAATTGATAATTTATATTTACATCATCCATTAAAACTAGAAAATTTATATGTATTTTTATTTTTATACAGAATAACCCATCACCCAGCAACAACCAACAATTTGGATAACAACAACAATTTGGATACCTACCTGATTTATGAATAGGGAATGAAATAGAATGAATCAGAATCCTATCGACCAAGCAACAATTTAAAATTTTGGACCTGATTTCTGATTTATGTATTATAGTTATATTTGAATGCTGTCAATGTATATAGTTATATTATGAATGCAATACAAAGTTGTGAGGTTTCTTTTATAAAGGTGGATGGACCAGAATTTTATATATGTTGGGAAGAAATATTCAAAAATACAGTAAGTTCCTCGAATGTGCTGAATTTTTATTCTAGATAAAGTATATGTTGGAGCTGATTTCTGATTTATGTATTATAGTTATATTATGTATGCTGCCAATGTATATAGTTATATTTTTAATGCAATACAAAGTTGTGAGATTTCTTTTATAAAGGTGGATGGACCAGAATTTTTTATATGGTAAAGAATACTTGTATAAGTAAGAATAACCTATTCCAAATATTATATTGCTTAGAAAAATAAATGTAATCAAAATAATTATTTTTATTTTACATATTCAAAAATACAATATGTACTGCTGAATTTTTATTCTGGTGGTTACTTGCATTCCAAATATTATATTTAGAAAAATAAATGAGGATGTTCTCGAATGTGCTGAATTTTTATTCTAACAAAGTTGTGAGTTTCTTTTATGGATCGTGGTTACTTGCATTCCAAATATTATATTTAGAAAAATATATGAGGCTGTTCTCGAATGTGCTGAATTTTTATTCTAACAAAGTTGTGAGTTTCTTTTATGGATCGTGGTTACTTGCATTCCAAATATTATATTTAGAAAAATAAATGAGGATGTTCTCGAATGTGCTGAATTTTTATTCTAACAAAGTTGTGAGTTTCTTTTATGGATCGTGGTTACTTGCATTCCAAATATTATATTTAGAAAAATAAATGAGGATGTTCTCGAATGTGCTGAATTTTTATTCTAGATACAAAGTTGTGTTCTTTTATGGAACAAGTAGTAAGTAAGAATAACCTATATTATATTGCTTGGAAAAATAAATATCAAAATAATTATTTTTTATTTACATATTCAAAAATACAGTATGTACTGCTGAATTTTTATTCTGGTGGTACTTGCATTCAAATAGAAAAATAAATATGCTGCAAATTTGACTAGGTGGATTTTGGATTGTTTTTAATGGGAGAGAGCAAGGTTATGAATTTCTTATAGAATTCTATTCCATTGAGGAGGGTGGACTCAGATTATTTTCTCAGAGATATTTCATTGGGATTCACATAATCATGAGTGTGAGAAAATCTTAATATAATCTCAGAAAATTTACTCGTTTGTTTACGAGATTTTTAAGAAATATAAACCTCGGGCTGTGTATCAGAGCACACCTAGGATTTAGCTCCTTGTAAGAAAAATTCCCCAATAACTTTCTCTTCACAATTCGCAACTTTCTCTTTTACTTTCTTTTAAGAAAACTTCCCCTCTATCACTTTCTCTTCCTCAACTTTCTCTTTACTTTCTTTTCTTTTGCAACTTTCTCTTCTTTCGCAACTTTCTCTTTTACTTTCTTTTAAGAAAACTTCCCCTATATCACTTTGTATTTCTCAACTTTCTCTTTACTTTCTTTTCTTTCGCAACTTTCTCTTTTACTTTCTTTTAAGAAAAATTCCCCTCTATCACTTTCTCTTAATCAACTTTCTCTTTACTTTCTTTTCTTTCGCAACTTTCTCTTTTACTTTCTTTTAAGAAAACTTCCCCTCTATCACTTTCTTTTTCTCAACTTTCTCTTTTACTTTCTTTTCTTTCACAACTTTCTCTTTTACTTTCTTTTAAGAAAAATTCCCCTCTATCACTTTCTCTTTCTCAACTTTCTCTTTACTTTCTTTCCTCTTTACTTTCTTTCTTTCGAAACTTTCTCTTTACTTTCTTTCACCCCTTTCTCTCTCTCTCCTCTCTCTCTCCATGCTGTATGTCTCTTTGTCTGGTGAGTAACAAACAATAAGCAAATCCTGTCTGTCATACAAAAACAAACTTAATAAGCATATCCTGTTGTCACACATGCGGCCAACTGGGTTTTTCCAGATAAGTAAAACAGGTGGCTCTGGGGACTTACCCACATCCTTCCACACCATAAAACTGAGTAGGAAAAAACAAACTTTTATTAAGCATATCCTGTTGTCACATGCGGCCAACTGGGTTTTTCCAGATAAGTAAAACAGATGGCTGAGGATTTACCCACATCCTGCCACACTGTAAAACTGAGTGATGGTATAAGAAACTCCACCCATGGGGGATGTCATTACTCAAAGCAAGTCTCTTTATTGGGTATGAAAATTACAACTGCTCCCTCTCTCAGTTTTTGATTGGATATAAAAAATGATAGCTCCACCGTGTACTTTTAGGGTTAGCTCATTTGAGCTCTGATATTTAGATTATAAGGATCTCAGTGAGTTGGAGAAAGACCTTCAGTGTGCCCAGTGAAAAAGGAGGGAGATTTCTTGGTGAGTGTTATTAACTCGATTTTTAGTGAGAGACTTGGTGGTGATATATAGGTTGTATTGGCAGGTGTGTGTGTAGGTGTGTGTGTTGGTGTGTGTGTGTGTTGGTGTGTGTGTGTGTTGGTGTGTGTGTATGTGTGTGTGTGTGTGTGTGTGTGTGTGTGTGTGTGTGTGTGTGTGTGTGTGTGTGTGTGTGTGTGTGTGTGTGTGTGTGTGTGTGTGGGGTGTGTGGTGTGTGTGTGTTGGTGTGTGTGTGTGTATGTGTGTGTGTGTGTGTGTGTGTGTGTGTGTGTGTGTGTGTGTGTGTTTATGTGTGTGTGTGTGTGTGTGTGTGTGTGTTGGGGTGTGTATGTGTGTGTGTTGGGATGTGTGTGTGTGTGTTGGGGTGTGTGTGTTGTGTGTGTGTGTGTGTGTGTTGGGGTGTGTGTGTGTGTGTGTTGGTGTGTGTGTATGTGGTGGGGTGTGTGTTGGTGTGTGTGTGTGTATTGGTGTGTGTGTGTGTTTGTGTGTGTATTGTGTTCTAACTGATACCATTTGTTACTTTAGAATGAATATTATTATAAATTAATTTAACATTATCTAAAGTTTCTGGATATGTTTGAGGTTTAATATTTGTTAAATAGTGTATTTGACAGGATTTACATGGTAAAATTATTGGTAAAATACTGAAAAAACTATTTGGAATTAATTTCATTTTTTTTTGTCGCCACCGTGTATTTTTCTTTCCTTTAATTCCAATATTTTTAGGAACAGGATCGCTAATAGCGTGAAAAATTCGCCAATAAAATGGACCCCATTCACGTGGCCCTCTTCTTGAGGGAGGTAAATTTTCTAATTTTCTTGAAAAC